AGATTGAATTTTCCCAGTTTGAAGTTTTCTCTGAATGCTTTTCTTGTCTTTGGTCATATTGCAGGCTGAACCAAATGGATCGTTATATAATGCTGCTATTCAGGGTATGTGCTTGAAGGGAAGGGCTGATCTGGCTAGAAAACTGTACAAGAAAATGCATGAGATGGGCCTCAAGCCTGAAGGCAAAACTCGGGCTTTGATGCTGCAAAACTTGAAAAAGGGTTGATTTTATGACTTTTGTGTTATACGATCCAGACCAAAAGGGGCTCGACTAGCCATGTTTAGGTTTTATCCGAAAATAGCACACTAACATGCTCGAGTTGTAACAATAGTACAATACTTTACCCTTATGTTATATTTGATGTACAAAAATATTCGAACAGAATACAGAATGACTTACTGTACCTTTATATACATTTTATCTTTATATACATTTTATTTTAATAAAGATAGACTAAATGCTAATAGATTATTTGTGATAGTCAGACATTTCTTAAGAATGATGAATAAATAAACACATTGGGTGCTGGTTCATGAAATAAACTTGATTGTTTCCCTGAGTTTTTTCTTAGTATTTCTCCAAACTATATGGGAGACTGATTTATATATTAGCTTCAAAATATTTATAAAATTTTTGTGTTGAGAAATAGCTGTTCTGAAAATTTTGTGGTCACCAGCTGTGCTATTTCCTTCTTGTACAACATTTGAAGATAAACAAAAAACAAGCATACTATCACCATGAAACCATACTTTCTTCATGCCCCAACTGCACTGTCTATAATAAAATCCATCATTAAAGTGCTCTGCAACTAATTGCAGAAAATTGAATTACCTTAAAATTCTTATGTACTAACCTATTGAGTGCCATTTTATTTAAGTAACCTGGATAGAACCACAAATAGTCATCAGTAAAAGCACCATTCTGAAATAGCACAAAAAACCAAAATTTAAATAAACTTGATAGATAGATAGATATGATGAACTAGAATTAAAGTGCAAAATACAAAGCAAAATATAATATAAGCAAATAATAATAATCATCTAAGTGGATGATTTGATGAGGCTAAGAAGATGGTTTGCCCGTGCAACCTTGGCGTTTTGATACGTGATGTAGGCCTCTGTCTCATCAACCAAAAGTTTCTTCCATTCCTTATCATCCACCAAAACAATATTCATACTTTCTCTACTCATCGGCTTCAACTCACTCCCCCACACCAGTTTGGATAAATCATAGGACTCTTTACCTCCACCACCATCTTCCTTGAATTTGATTTCCTTTCCCTTGTTGTTATTGTTGTACTTATTCTTGAGCGTTCTGATCTTGCTCTGAAGCTGGGTTTTGGTCACCGTCATTTGGAGCTTATTTTTGATGAACTCATGAAAGGCATCCATGTCTTCACATTTCTTCCCATCCTTTTGGAATTCTAAAAGCCCCTTCAGAAGGGCAATCTCGTCCTCATGGCTCCATTTTCTCTGGAATGCTGACTTTTGCTCAATCTTCTTTTTCTTCTTCGAACTTTCGGCTTCACCCGCCGGCAACGGCTTTCGCTTCTTCTCCGACTTCTCTTCCGATTCGGATGGGTTAGGCTTCTTCGACTTCATCTTCTCTTCCGATTCGGACTCGGAATCGGATTCGGATTCAGCAACTGGGTTAGGCTGCTGCTTGATTGGCTGCTTAGGCTTCTCTTCCGATTCCGGTTCCGATTCGGAATGGTCACGTTCTTCCGATTCCGATTCGGAATGGTGACGTGGATTACGCTGCTTCTTCAGCTTGGGCTTATCCCCAGTTTTTGCCATGTCTAGGGTTTGGTTTGTGTTTGCTTTTTGGTGAGGAAGAGAAGACCGTTGGTACACCCCCAATTTATACCGACTAATTAATTAATTGTCTAATTCAATGTCCAAGTAATTCGAAGGGACGTTTTGGGATATTCGCCAGACGCGTACACTTGGAACTCGTTGATTGGTGCGGATGCCCTTAGAAAAGAGCAAAAGGAGGTTTTAAATATGCGTGTTTGATTTATTGTCAGAGGCTCGGGCTGTGGGAAAAGGCGGTGGAGATAAGTCAATACTGCGTCATTTCCACCCCATTCACACTCCTTGTGTCATGTCATGTATAAGTCATTAAATTTTTAGGTAATTGTTACTTATTTTTGTATTTTTATTGCTTCCTCCTATTTATAATAAATATCGTTTTAAGAAATTGTACAATAATTAAGAATATTTTTTTTGTCAATATTAACCCTCCGTTTTAAGAAATTGCACAGTAATTAAGAATATTTTTTTTTTCAATAATAACCCTCTTTAAAGAAGATAGAGAATGATGTTTTGAAAAAAAATGAAGAATGAATATAAAAAGACGTAGTGTATTTATTAATTAAATGAGGGTAATAATAGAAATATATGTACAAAAGATCCAAAACGACATTTATTTGGTTAATAATTAATAAAGACAAAATGACATTTAACAATTATAGGAGGTAGTAATATTTTTAATTTTTCTTCCAAGATTGTCCACGTTTTGTAATAAACTTCTGAACTGATAGTTTCACTTAATATGCTTATATCCATTTTTATATTTTATATTTCCAATTCTATATCAAGATATACCTTTTCTTGTAATTATTTTATTTTCTTATAAAGATACAATTTTGTTTTGCTAAAATCTTGTATTCTGCATATAAATATTTTGTATTAAAAATACCATTTGTAAAATATCATTTTGTAATTATTTATTTGTCTCATTTATGCTAAAATCTTTTAGAAGTTAAAACAGTCTTCGAAAGAAATAATTGTCTTTTTCTATTTATTCTCAGACTCTTTGTGGTTAACTCATGAATTNCTATTGTGGTTCACTCATGAATTTTTTAAAATATTTATATTATTATCTTTATTTTTGTTTTATTAATTATATGCTTAAAATTAACATATCTTTTGCACTACTGTTACGGACTAAATATCAGGGAGTAGGTGAAGGAGTGAGTACATGACGGGGAAGGAGCATTTTCCATATGGGAGATGGAAGTTTCGGGTTTTCTTGTTTCGATCGTGTTGTATAATCTTGTTATTGGAGCTTGTGAGGTTGCAAGAAAGCCAAAGGTTGCTCTGCAAAAGCTTTTGCAGGATGTGTTCACTCGGCTGTCGTTGGTAAGAAGTTGTGCGTGGGATTCTGCTTTGGGATAAGGTTGAGGAAATTCTAAGGAGGGCTGTTAGAGACTTTTTAAGACTTTTGAAATTAAGAGGTATTCAATTAAAACTTTTTTAGATTCTCAAAAAGTTACATGTATTCAATTACAATTTTTCAAGAGTTTTTAAAAGTTACCCGTTATATTCAAGTTAAGAAGATTTTATGAGACTTTTTAAAGTAAAGGATTCTTGGAGATTTTTTTACCAAAAATATAAAGAAAAAATACATGTGAGAATCTCACCAAATTTGTGAGATTTTATATAAAGACTCCTCTCTCTCTTTCTTCAACCAGTTACTCTCACATTTTTTTATCTATAGGATTTCAAGGTAAAAGATTAATTTTTATATCTTTGATTGATTGATTCCTGAGTTGTTGATTGATTTAAAAGTTGTAGTTCATATTTTTGGAGTGTTAACTGGATTAGAACACTAATCCACGGCCTGTGTGTAATAAGTATAACTAGTCCATACTCTTTTTCAAACGGAACTGATTTTTTATCGTTTGAAAAAAATCCAACTGTAATATGTATCATTAGTTTGATACTCATTTATCTTCTCAATATCCAAATTGCTTCCACGATTCAATGTCTCCAAAGATTTTTCTTTATTCTTTTTCATATAGAAATAGTAATAAGCATAGCTGAGACCTAACTTACACAATTACACAATACTACATACAAATTTTTTGGTATGCACTGATTCAATTCAACACTAGACGTCTTGCCAAGAACCTAGTTTAAGGATAGAGATGGATGTTTTGAAAAAAGATGAATATTGAATATGAAAAGACATGGGTAATAATGGAAAAATATGTACAAAAGATTCAAAATGTCATTTATTTGGTTAATTGTTAATATAGCCAAAATGACATTTATAAAAAAAAAAAAGTAGTAATATTCTATTTTCTTGTGTTCATTCTAACTCAATAAATAGTGTGTAATATCATAATACATTTTAATTATAATTTTTAATTAGTAATTTAATTTTATTGATATTAGTTATTATGCACATAATTTCTTATGAGCATTTTATACAAACTAGTAGTCAACCTGTGTATTTGCACATGGACGAATACTTTAAAAAGATAAATATATATAAAAAACAAAAATAAATCATAATTTAATTCATGAAAAAAAAATATGAATTAAGAAAACAATTCTCAAAATTGATTTTGATCAAGTAATAGCTATGGGAGTCATTACAACCATTTTCTTTATGCTAATACACCCTACCATTTTCATGAGTGGGTGTGACTTAAAATTTGAGTACAATTTTGTAACTCTCTTGATTGGTTTAAAATTGATTTAAAATTTGACTTAAAATTGATTGGTTTATGTTCATAATTTATGGCATTCAAACATGTTATTTTGTAACTTAAAAATGAAATTGAATGTTGAAAATTTTGGAGGGAGAATAAAATTTAATGCATGAGTATAAAATTTAATGCATGGTAATAAAATTAAATGCTTTGTTGCTCCTTTTTATATATATATATATATATATATATATAAATTTAATTATTATGTGCATTTGCACATAGAAAAATATTTTAAAAAGATAACAATATAAAAAAATAATAATTTAATTCATGAAAAAAATATGAATTAAGAAAATAATTGTCAAAATTGATTTTGATCATGTAATTGCTATGGAAGAGTCCGTTATAACCATTTTCTTTATGCTAATACATCCGGCCATTTTCATGAGTGGGTGTGACTTAAAATTTGAGTAAAATTTTGTAACTCCCTTGATTGGTTTATGCTCATAATTTATGGCATTCAAGCAAGTTATTTTGTAACTTAAAAATGAAATTGAATGCTGAAAATTTTGGAGGGATAATAAAATTTAATGTTTGATAATATAATTAAATGCTATGTTGCTACTCTTTATATATATAGATATAGATTTAATTATTATATTAAGAATTATATAAAAGTCTTAAAAAGTCCAAAGAAGTTCATATTGAAAGTCTTATAATGTCTCCATAAAACAAAATCAACAAAATCATTAAAAGTGAGTTCTAATTGAATACATCCCCTAAAGGCTAAAGGTAGTATTTTTTAAAAAAATAAAATTATTTTATTTATATATATTCTAATACTTCTGTGGAAAGTTGCTTGATGTAAGTTGAGCTTCTAAATCACTAATAGCTGTTGCAAAAGTTAGTCCTCTTCAAGTTCCATCGTATGGAGTCACTGTGTATGTTGGTTCCCGATAACTTTATGATACAGTCAATTTTGCCAGAAAATCGAGATGTGTCAGAAGATCTTGTGAAAATTGCTCCATAAAAAGCCAAAAGTAAAATAGACCCTTTTTTTTTTTTGGTACAAGTAAAATAGACCCTTTAATTATTCATGGGAATAGGAGTCCAATCTACGATTTATTTATTTATTTAAAAATAAAAAAAATTAAGTGGACAAAATCTAAAAAATTTAAAAACATGTGGACAACAATCAAAACCACGTATTTTGAAAATATGTTTTTATTTAAAAAAACATATTTTGATAATACGTTTTATATTTTAAAATTAATGAATAAAAAAATTAATATATAGCATGTGTTTTGTATTTTGGGCTTGTTTGAGCTCGTCTGAACTCGGAATTGAGTGTCGTTTTTTTCCTATACGTAGCTAACGGACCCCTCTATCCAATGATGCTTGCATGGCCAAATTATTCTTGAAATCATATTCTCCCAAAGCTCTTTACCGATACATTAAACGTGTTTCGCGCGACTTTGCTTTTTGGGCCCGTTCAGACTCGTTCAAGCTCGAAATTCATTACCGCTTCTTCCTATATGTCGCCAACGAACCCATCTGCACAACTATGATTGCCCGGTCAATTTTCGGGCTAAATCTATTCCTCACGGGATAAATAAGTAACAAATCACCCCTTATATAAATAGATGGTCCACGGAGGATTTGTTAATAGGTGATTTGTTAATTATTTAGCCCCGTGAAGAATAGATTTAACACGAAAATTGACCGGGAAATCATGGTTGTGTAGATGGGTTCGTTGGCGACATATATGAAGAAGCGCAAATCAATTTCGAGCTTGGACGAGTCCGAACGGGCCCAAAAAGCAAAGTCGCGCGAAATACGTTTAATGTGTAGGTCAAGAGCTTTGGGAGAATATGATTTCAAGAATAATTTGGTCATGCATGCATCATTGAATAGAGAGGTTCGTTAGCTACGTATAGGAAAAAACAGAACTCATTTTCGAACGGGCGTTGTTGTCGTTCGTGGTCACGACGTCTTCTACCTCCACCGATGTTGGCAGGGGGTTGATGTCTCGCCCTCTGTGACTGTGTTTTCTGGGATGAGACGTAGTCCTCCTCGGATAGAACTTGACTGAACGACGCTCCTAGTGTGACCTCTTGGCCTCCAACAGTCAGAAAACTATAGGTAATTTTCGGGTTCAATCTATTCCTCATGGGCTAAATAATTAACAAATCACTCATTATATAAATAGATGGTACACAGAGAATTTGTTAATAGGTAATTTGTTAATTATATAGCCCTGTGAGGAATAGATTTAACCCGGAAATTGACCGGGCAATCATGGTTGTGTAGACGGGTTCGTTGGCGACATATAGAAAGAAACGGAACTCAATTTCTAGCTTAGACGAGTCCGAACGGGCATTGTTGTCGTTTGCGGTCACGGCGTCTTCTACCTCTACTAGTGTTGGCAGTTGATGCCTCGCCCTGTGTGATTGTGTACTCTGGGATGGGACGTAGTCCTCCTCGGATAGAATATGACTGAACGACGCCCCTTGTGTGACCTCTTGGCCTCCAACAGTCAGAGAACTACAGGCAATGTTGTAGGACTGTTGGTAAGATAACTATAAACAATGTTGTAGGACTGTTGGAATGCGGCCTGCGCCCGTGGAGGGAGTGTAGAAAATATGTCTTGAATATTCGCTAACGAGTTATAAACCCCCTTCAGGGCTTGAGTCTGAAAATAAAATTCAAAGTAATTAGTATGAAACACCAAAAAAGAAAAAAAGAAATAATAAAAAACCACAAATTATGAACACTTACATCGCACTTCTCCCGCTCGACAAATGTCTGATAGTCGTCGTCCTGTTGGACCACCGTGTACTTGGTAGAGTCGCTGATAAGTCTTACAGTCCTAGTGTATAAAACCAATCAATGTAACCCTACTCAGCCTGTAGAAAGTGATCTATAGGGGCATCTTGGAGGACATTTTGTTCTCTTTCATCGACTCAGCCCTTAGTAAGCTGTGAATGAAAGGCGGCCCGATCACCAAATACCCTCCCAGTCATTCCACGACCTCTGTGGTGTGTTTCTCATTCTTGCTCACCACTAATCATCGGATTTTGGGGGATGGACTGCTGACACCCAAACTGGCGGAGAACTTTATCAGACAAGTGGACTTTACGTATGTTCCAACAGAAGATCCACCCCCTATACATCCAAATATGTTGATCTTTTGTGCACTCATCCGAGAGAGTACCTATAGTTCTCTGACTATTGGAGGCCAAGAGGTCACACAAGGGGCGTCGTTCAGTCAAGTTCTATCCGAGGAGGACTACGTCCCATCCCAGAGTACACAGTCACACAGAGCGAGGCATCAACCCGCTGCCAACATTGGTGGAGGTAGAAGACGCCGTGACCGCGAACGACAACAACGCCCGTTCGGACTCGTCTAAGCTCGGAGTTGAGTTCTGTTTTTTCCTATATGTAGCTAACGAACCCCTCTATTCAATGATTCATACATGACCAAATTATTCTTGAAATCATATTCTCTCAAATCTCTTGACTTACACATTAAACGTATTTCGTGCGACTTAGTTTTTTGGGCCCGTTCGGACTCGTCCAAGCTCGTAGTTGAGTTCCGTTTCTTCCTATATGTCGCCAATGAACCCCCCTACACAACCATGATTGCCCAGTCAATTTTTGGGTTAAATCTATTCCTCACGGGGCTAAATAATTAACAAATCATCTATTAACATATCCTCTATGGACCATCTATTTATATAATTGGTGACTTGTTAATTATTTAGCCCGTGAAAAATAGATTTAGCCCGAAAATAGACCAGGCAATCATGGTTGTGTAGAATGGTTCCTTGACGACATATAGGAAGAAGCAGAAATCAATTTCGAGCTTGGACGAGTCCGAACGGGCCCAAAAAGAAAAGTCGCGCGAAACACGTTTAATGTATCGGTCAAGAGTTTTGGGAGAATATGATTTCAAGAATAATTTGGTCGTGCAAGTATCATTGAATAGAGGGGTTTGTTAGCTTCGTATAAGAAATCAATTCCGAGTTCAGACGAGCCCAAAACACAAAATACATACTACATATTAATTTTTTTTCATTCATTTTAAAATATAAAACGTATTACCAAAATACATTTTATAAATAATTATTTATAAAACGTATTATGATAATACATTTTATTTTTTAATTATTTATTAAACTTTCTTAATTATTTATTAAATGTATTATCAAAATACGTTTTATTTATTAATTTTTTTAAAAAAAATTAAAAATATAATTTTAAAACGTATTACCATAATACGTTTTTTAAAAAAAATTATTAAAAAAACGTATTATGAGAATACGTACTTTTTATTTTTGTCCACAATTTTTTTTTCTTTTTATTTTTGTCCAGTTATTTTTTTTTTTTTTTATTTATATNAAACTACCCTCTAATATACTCCTGATCCATTTCGGATTCCCCATTGCCAACGGAATCCTTACCACCAACCGGCCGGAAAATATTCTGGCAATATATCTTTACTTGAAGACATGCCAAATTAGACATGGCCAAAGGGTCGCCCGGTCCGCCAACCCGGCCCTGACCCGACACGGACCCGACACGGACAAACCCGTTGACCACGGGTTTGGGACCGGCCCGGATTTCAGACAGGCCGTGTAAGGGTCATTCATTTCATGACTCGGCCCGGAGGGTCAGGATCGGGCCGGGTCGATGACCCTTCTTTTTAATTTTTTTTCATTTTTTTTATATAGTTTTTTAAAGAAGCAGGGACCCGGCCCAGACACGACCCGGCCCGGACACGGACCCCGCACGAGTATAGGTCCGTGCCGGTTCAGGGTCAATGTTTTCGATCCCGGCAACCCGGCGGACCGGGCAGTGCCATTACCCGGCGGGCCGGGCCGTGCCATTACCCGGCTCGGGTTTTGGCCATGTCTGCCAAATTATCCACATAAATAGGAATCTAATCTACAGAATTACCCACTTACCGGAAAATATTCCGGTAAAGGACCTTTACTACAAGAAGGATGCCAAATCATTCTGGTAAAAAGAAATCTATAATCTACACCTGATCGGAGTTGCAGGACGGCAAATATTCCTGCAACACATCTTTACTACAAGAAAGATGCCAAAGGATATCCATCATCCATACTATAACAATTACTGTAAACGTTAACAAAAGCTCAACTTTTGCTGGAATAAATTAAGGCAACAGAAATACAAGCACAATGGAAAGCCCAAAATGATGCCAAATTACCATAGTGATGAAAGAATAATAATATTCTGCAAATGAATTTTTTTTGTACGGATCGTACAAGAATAAATCCCTGACATACAGTTTATATTGTTCTATAAATTAGGTCCCTGTAATAACCATCAAATCTACCCGCTTGAATCACCATAACCGAACATAAATAACCCAAAAATCGCAGTAAAATTTAAATGGTGAAAAAAGGTAAAAAAAATTAACAAAAGGGAAAAGAATAATCAATTCGGCCAATGGGGTCGACCAGTGGGAACTCTTTTGCCAGTAGACCTGCGCATCGTAGCTCTGTCCTTACCCGTGCACCAGATATGATGTCCCTTCAGAACAGATTATACGATTTGTTTCCTTTTTAAGCACCAAGCCATAAGTGAGACTACCACCGATCGAGATCAAAAGAAAAAAAAAAAAAAAAAAAAAAAAAAACTTGAAATTTGAAAAGATGAAAAAATGTTACTTTACAGACGAAAAGAATGAATCCCACATTACGCCCAGCATAGCCATGTAGTTCCTTTCCTCCAAAACCGGGCCCACAAACCATATTTTGCATTTCATGGATTGCAACATATCTGAGATCCTCTCATATATTCACATTATCATCAAAATTGGATAAATATTCCCTCCCAAAAGGAGAGACTTTTTGAGCAAATAACCTGTTACGCTTCATCTCATCGTTTAATTGGTGCGAATGTGTTGGCTAAATGCTACTCCAGGATGTGGCAATTCCTTACAAAGTCACTTGAATAGTTAACGTACTTGGTCCAGAACGGCCTTAAATGCTCGAAACCAATCTCCAACCATGGTTTGGATTGACCGTTGTAGTGAATGACGGCTGCCTTCTTCACGTTTTCAATGTTGGTCTTATTCTGATAGCCCAACCCAAGCATGTGCCATGAGGGATCTATAGGGTGAACGTGGCCCTTAAATGCTATTAACGCTGGAGGTAGAGTCCCAAGCTTCCATAATGTGAGGTTTGACTTCAGATTCTGCAATAAATACACGTTGTCAATTTGCAATTATGAGAAACAAAAATTGGCAAAGCAATATCAACAGATGAGACAAGTGGCAGAATTATTTTAGGTAAATATTTTATTTACCTCCTTGAGCCAAGAGTGATAAGTGTCTCTAATATTTGTCTTTCGCCATGCATGTAAGTCGAATATATTCATCCCATATGCCCACGCGCATTCATCAGGATTCAAGTTCTTTGAGATAAGTGGGTGAGAGAAGTTGAAATAGTTTCTGAATCTCTTGGACATAACCCACTCGTCATCACCTCTGCAAGTCTCAACAGCTCCGTTCACTTTTCCGTTAAGGTCAATCTCCCAAAGAGGAGACAAGTCTTGTTGGATTACAACATCATCGTCCAGGAAAACCACTTTTTCGAGGTTTGGGAATAGCTGCAAATCATACAACAATACTATTTTCATAAAGAGAGACGACTGGGTCGATTTATCTTCCAGATATAACATCACATGCACATGCAGTTATCTCTTAAAAGCAATATTATAGTTCATATGAAAAGTTCTGCTCATTCAGGTAATTACTGAAAGCATATTCTTAACCATTTCAGAAGGTCTTATTCACACATTATTACCCATTCTTGGGTTTTT